GAAGATCGACTTGAATGGACCCACCAATGAAAATCTGTTCATGAAAAGATGATCAACTTCGTGAATGAACGGAATGGATTGATATAGTACAAGGAAACAGTCGAAGATTGAGCAGGATTCGCCGCAACCTTGCATCTCATTTGCCGCCCACCTTTTCCCCCCTAATTCGTGAGGTTAGTCGAAAGTGGAATAACAGTTGCATCATTCGATTATCATCCGTTATAGTGGTACCGAACTTACAGCTTGTTCTGACAAATGAAGCCTTTGCTTATTACCGTGCTTCGCAGTCATTTGGCTTTTACTCCAAGCCGTTCCTTGTTTTTGCTTACGTAATCTGATTATTTTGCGTAGTAGGGCTGGCTGACTGTGATCTGTAGGATCGCCGCGGAATAATGCATTATCTGACTTACCCTTCTAACGGTGAATGTAGATCGTAAACTTCTTCAACCTCGACATCCTGCACACCAAAGTCTTTCAGCAAGAGAGTAAAAAGACCTAAAAATACGTCTATATAGATCTACTGAGTAATCGGGATCAAAAGACAGGATAAATTAATAAAGACTAAAGTAAATCATCGAATTGGGAGGATTTTTATTACTATTAATGCTATAAGTCTTAAGCTCCGTACAGAGGAAGAGAAAAGCACGATATATTGTTGGGAACATAGCTCAGAAATAGGCAGATCCTCTCGCTTATAAATTAATTGCCGCATATTCTGAAAGCAGATGGCAGGGCGCTGTACTCACAGAGTACTCATATGCTGAAATTTCATCGGGTCGTTGGCTTTTCATCCCTCAGAGGCCAAGTTTATTGCTATAGCGTATACCTGCCATCTGCTTTGCAGTTGTTTCAGGCAGAGACAAGAAATAATAAAAACTACATATGCAGCAAACGACAGCAAATATGTCATAAATGAGCCGAATTCAAGTTGGTACGCATCTCAACGTTAAAGAGGGGCTTTCAGGATTCGGATTAAGAGGAACATTGCTTAATGCCTCCACAACAATGTGCTTACATAGAATAAGTTATCTTTACCACCGACACGCAGCATGTGAAGCATCTTCGTGGCGAACGTCCTAGTGGAATAACGCGCATCTCTGATTACGAAAGCAACGATCCGTTAATAGAGTCAGGTTACTTGCGAATAGCGTCAAGCAGCGACGTAGGAAAGTCGCTAGTAGCTGAAGAGGATCCAGCGAAGATGATGGATGGTCATTTTTGAGCGATATAGAAAGGTAAAAAATGTCGTCGAAAGAAATCGAAAGAACCGCCGAATGAAACCTCATTCACCAATGCGAAACGATTGGTTGAACATGGTCACAGAAGGTTAACTAATCGTACAGGAGAACTTCCAATTAACGGAAGGGGTATTGATTTGACCAAATGTATGAGCCGATATCCGTTCCACATGCACCGCAAACGAGCGGGTGTTATAACGCATGAATGTACCTTTGAAAAATGAACGACCGACCAAATCACGGTTAGACAGAAGATACTTTAGAGAATTATCATTATCCTCGAGGATGTACCTCATTATCATTGAAACAGGATTGTACTTTGCCCTTGACAGAGAAAATAGAAAAAAGGAGCCTTGCACGATTGTACTAAAGAAATAAACACGGCATCAACTCGACAGTAGTTTAAAACAGAGGTTCGTCTGAGACATCACTGAGAACCAACTATCCTCACCTGGATCGCTTTCCAATTCGGCCCAAGCTTCTGCCATTGAGAAGAAACACTGATGCCTGAAATGCAACCGAAAATGCAATGGATTATGGTCGAAATATCAAAACTGAAAAATACGCAAAGTGAAGATAAAGTAAAAACAGAGGACATCAAAGCCGTTTGAGAAATTTTATTGATTCAAAGAAATTTTTGCGCAATGAAACTTAGCGGCATTGAAATTCGAACTTCGGCCACAAACTTCACAACGACACAGTTTGCCTTCGTCGTCAAGAGCGGAAGTCAAACAGAAATAGCAGCAGGTGTGTCCACACTGCAAATCGAAAGGACAAACGATTGGTTTCCGGCAAAAACTGCACCGCGATGAAGATGAAGAGGAAGACCGAGGGCGCAGCTGAAGAGACAGAAAATCGCCAGAGCTTCGTCGTAACCATTTCCACACCGTCGACAACCAGGGCCGTATCAATAACAAACAATCGACCATATCGCAAAACAAAATTTGACTCATATAGAGCCTCATTTCGGCGTCATCTTCAACATACGGGGACAGATGCACTGACCTGATGCCAGTAATCGCCTCTGCCAATTTCACATTTAGACCGTTAGCAACGAAAACTAAACTCTGCACAAATTCTACCAATTCCAGCATGGCCGCACTTCTCTTCAACACCCAAGTCAGAATCGATGGT